AATTTTTTAATTTTATGTTTTAAAATACTTTTGAGTTTAGTTTCACTTTCACCATTAAATATAATAAATCATTGTTAATTTCAATAGGCGATCAAACAGTTAAAAAAGTTTAAGATTCTAAATGAAAATCTCAAATTTAAACTTTTACTTGATGGAAAAGAATATGGAAATAGATAAAAGTTAATTTTTTAATAAAAAAAATAAGATGTACTAAAAAAAATTAATAATTATTGGTTAAAGTAATAAAATATTTTATATTTATTATTTACCAAATTAAAATTAAACATTTTTTTATCTTATATAATAATAAAAAATCACCACTCGTTTCTTATTCCACCCAATTACTTATCGTAAGATTTGAAATTAGAATCGCTTAATTACAATAAAAGGAGAGGGACAAAAAATTATTAATTTCGTTCGTAAAATCAAACTTAAAAATACAGTTTGTGTCTATGCTTGCTGCTCTTATCATATATATAAATCTTCTCAAATCTTATTGCCATAATATAATAAAGAAAGTAGCTTCATACTATTTCCTAAGATCCACATTTATAGTTGAGACTATAGGAATACTAGTTAATTGGCTGTCAAAGCCTTTGGCTATAAGTTACTTCCTCAAGTTCATTATGCTTCGACATGGCAAGTCAGTAACTGTTTTATCAATATATATCTAGAACACCGGCATTATTAGTTCTTCTTTTTCTGAGAAACTATCTAATTTTATTTGGGAGTTGCGTTTGTATACCAGTATCTTGTTTTCTGTGACAATTTAAATGGCCTAGAAAATTAGTAGACTTGGCATTATTTTGTTGTGAAATGGTATCAAACAGAAATTTTTTATTAGACACTCTCATAAGACAACTTTAGTTTAGCCACCAATTGTTTCATGAAGGTTGACTTTGTGGAAGTATATGTTTTTTAAATATACTACTTCCTCTTTCAAAGCAGAAATTATTTTCTGTGGAAAAAAAAGAATAATCTTACAAGTCAACCATCAGATGCACCACTAAGAAGTTACTACATAAGGCGTATTGACCTTTTCCAGCCACTGAACTCTAATGTTGGCCATCTCTTTGTTGTCAACCACTAGTGTTACCAGTGATCATTGCTTCACATTGGCAAGTACTGGCTGTCAATCAGGAGTTGACAATAACAAATATAATTGCTGACGTTTGTTGATTATCATTACGTCCGGAATGTGGAGTTGGCATTCATTTTCACAAAATCTTTTCTAAAGTCACTGACAACCACTTCATTGCCAGATGTCTATCTTTTTGGCACCGTAATGCTGGTTTTTGGAATGGGTCTTTATGAGCTCTTTGTCAGCAATCTTAGCATTGCAAAGTCAGTGTTAAAGGAAAATGTTGACCGATCAAATCCCTTTGGCCTGTTTACTTTAAAGGTTAGTTAAATTTTCTCTAAATTTTACTTGTGCTTTGGCAACAGTTGTGCAGCCTTTCCAAGGAAAAAAAGAAAAAACAGTTGGGCAGCATGTGCTGGTATAAACGGACATGTTCATTATATTGATTATTTTGCTTTTATTTGTTGTTCATCATGTGAACCTGTCTTGATCCTTTGGTCAGTTAAAGAAATATAATTATTTCTCTGGGTGGGTGGTTAAGCTTGCAAAAAGTGAATTCACTGTTTTTCCTGCACATAGTTGCATCTATAATCATATATACCAAAACCCTTTTTCCATCCATAGGAACGACCGAGATGGTTAGAAATCAAAACTGTCAGTGAGCTGAAGACCAAACTTGGGCATGTGATAGTGATGCTTCTTCTGATTGGACTTCTTGACAAGAGTAAGAAAGCCATTATACACTCTTCCATGGATTTGCTTTGCTTCTCAGCTTCTGTCCTCCTTTCCTCTTGTTGCCTGTACTTGCTATCTAAGCTCTCTGACTTAGATTAAGTTCTTCATCCTTCAGTTGTTCTGTAAAACTATTAGTTATGCAAAACCAATGAGGAAAGCGTGTATACACGTAAGAAATATCTCTCTCCACATATGCAGTTTCAATACATATTAAATCCAAAGTACTCTCCGCCATGATATTGTAATTGCAGGTGAGAGGACCCGCTAAAATTTAGCCAAAGTGTCCAAAACTGTAAGACTTGAAATTATTGGTTTAGGTTTTTTAAATAATTGTATTTACTTTTCTCTAATGGAACTATAGGATTCTTTTCAACATACAATCATTGTCCTTCATCCTAGGGCCATAGCAACTCCATAAGACTTGAGACCTACCTAGGACAAGAAAGGCCCACTAGGATGTGTGCTTTCATCATTATGTTTTCTTAGGATATTCTGAAGGCTTAGCCTGATGAAATGGTAAATACAGCTTCAGGATCTCTTCATGTATTCACATTGGTCCATTTTCCATCTTTCCTCTTCCTAGTGCATAAGGATGACAACAATTGATGTCTAAAGCCATGTCATTAAACCACTATAGGTATATATTTTCACACCATTTTAGATGGTCTTTTCACACCCATTTTAGATGGTCTTTTCACACCTGAACCCCTCTCCCTTCCCCTCTCTCTCTCAAATCCATTGCTAATCTGGATAAGCATAGAGCTAAGGTTTTTCATTATTGTTTTAGGTGAAAAATGCCATCCAGTGATGATGTTTGGTAAACTGTGTATTCTTGTGCTTTTCCATCTCGGCATGTCTGGTGATATGCTTCGCATGCGTGTGCTTGCTCGCAAGCTGTGGGCCACTGTCCACTGACATTAGACTAAAATATTTGTGACAATTGTCAGACAAATAGTCCAAGAATATCTTTAGATTTGCTATGAATAACATTTCATGTTGATGCAATCTAGCACAAAAAAGACAATAAATCTAACATGAGACTTTCATCTGCTGATTCACTCTCATGTTTGTTTGTCATTATTTTGTTTCTCCATGAGAAGATAAAATAATGACCAGATCTCAGGTGAAAAAGCAAGTGTCATAATCTTCACCCTAAACCTCGAGTCTTGGTTGGCCTAAAACTTTCTTATTATACCAAAAAAAAATAGAGAAAAATGATCAAAATACTTTGAAATCAGTTTTGTGTGCTTCCAAAGTCCACAAAAAAACTTCAGGGAGAAAATACTAAAATATATATATGTTAATAGTGAGAATTAGTAGAGAACACCTTTGGCAAACAAAATGAATTTCTTGTCAAAAATCTTGATATTCTTTGACTAAAACAATTATATTGGCCATAATGTGATTAGAATGTTATTAAGATAGCATAAAAAGTATCTGCTAGTCCTTTTCTTTTGTCTAATTACACAGACTAAAATGTGTAGTTCTTTTGGAAAAAACTTTAAAAGGAAAAGGAAAGAAAGTATGTTGTTGGGTTCCACCATTTCATTTCACAGATAATTGAACTGATAAAATGACGTGAAGACGTCTTGCTGGGAAGGAGACAAATGCTACAATAATAACCATGAAAAATAGCTATATTTATGTTATGAGAACTATTCAAGTTTCTTTCTTGGAGCAACAGAATCTAATACCTTTTTCCAAAGTGAGTACTTGTTACGATAACTAGGTTTGTTTCATCTAATTGATGGGAAAGTGCATCTGCTGTCCAAGGGAATTTTCTTAGTTTAGGGGCAAGTTGACTTAATTACAATAGAAGCATAGGAAAAGGGAGAAATTTGGTAGTGTCTTGATGTATTATTGATATGTTAAACCTCTTCCTCTTTGTTTCTATGATCTAGATTTGAAAAGAATCTAAATAATATCATGCGGTACATGATGTGGAATGCGCAGTTGGACACTAGAATATGGTTGGTCAGACAAAGGGAATATAGGTTTTCTTTCTCATCATGTGGATCGGTATAGACTACTACACTTTGAGTTTAAGGTTGCCTTAAACAAAAAAGGGAAGGACTGATGGTGATGGGTGCTTATTCAAAGTTGTGTCATTTTTTATAATAAGAAGCAAAAGTACACAAAACACACAAAATAATAGCACTAAAGTAGAGCCCTTAGTCCACATAGAATCTCTTCTCTCCCCACCCCCCCTCCAACCCCAAGAGACCCAAACTGGCTTCAAAATTATATACAAGCATGTTCGCTTTATCAGTACAATTTTGGTCTAGAAGGCATGATGAAAGCATGAAAATGTATATCTAAAGTGTGTTTAACTATTGACATTTGTGGAATTATGGGTTTAAGAGTTTTATTTTTCTACAAGTAATTTCATAAGTGTTCATTTTATTCATGTTGTGCAAATTTTATGGTGATTGAAGGTTGATGTTAAATGGAGAAGAATTAGAAAAAGGACTTAAATGCAAGGAGCAAATTACAAAGATCAGAAATATGATGATCAACTTGCGTGGAATCCAGGAGTCAGGGACCAAGACTGTTATTCTGCCATTAACCAAAATTGCACAAAAGGCCAAAAACCCGACACGGGATGCAGTTGACGCTCCACTCAAAGTGCCGGCACCTTGTAAAGAGTGTTGATCCCTTGTGCAATAATTCAGCCAAATCATATCTGTCCTAATTATTGTGATGTGGGCCTCACAGCCATTCTAATTAGGGTTTCTAGGATTCTATAAATACCCATCCAAGTTATTTCAGAAGGGGGTTCCAAAGCCTGGAGAGGCGGCTATCAGGCTTCTATTTTCCTCTTCAAGGCTAGAGAAGCAACTAAACTTTCAACAAGATTAGGGAGAATCTTGATTGAAGAGTTTGACTTGTTATTTTATTTTAATTCCTTTATAAATTTTATTATTTAATTTTATTTTTGAGAGATTATTAATTATTTTCAGACTTGAAAACCTTGAAAATTATATTTATCAAATTTCATATAAGATTAGTCATGCTCTTTTTATGTGTGATTTATTAGAATATAATTGATTGGTAGATTTGTTTTGCGGGTTGATCTTTTACTGCAGTATTGTCGATTAGATATATTGTCACTCTCGGATAACTCGTAAGGATAGATCAGTTTGTTCTTCATTGAAATTAATTTTTTCAAAATAAATACATTAGTCATTATTATTGGTTTTCAAAGTTGAATCTTCTGATTGTTTGTTTGGGATGTGAAACATGCAATTGAGTAATAAATAGGAATCAAAATTTATAACAGTTAAACAAATCAATTAAGTGAACCCCGAAGTCTTGTTCATCATAATATTGTTTTCAATCTTTTACAATTATCATATTTTATTTAAATATTTTTATTCTTAATTTTAGAATTCATCTTTTAATTTAATTTCTCATTGTGACAACTCTTTTTGTTGATTTAATATAACTTTCATGTGGATTCGACACCTAAAGCTACGTTACAACAACCGCTTAACCGAAGGGTATTAATTTTGAGGTGAGACATCAAAATTTGGCGCCGCTGCCGGGGAAGCCAAATTGACAATTAGAGTTTGAACATTCTTCACTTTTCTTTTATTTATTTTATTTTACTTTCTTGCTTTTATTTTATTTTCTTCATTCAAAAAAAAAAAAAGTAGATTAGAGTGTATGAATAGATCGAGAGACAAAAAAGGGAGATTTATTAGATTAGATCCACCACCTTTTCAAAAAGAAGAAGTTGAGTCTAATTCATCCTTTAATTCTGAAACCATGAGTCAAGATGGGGATCAACCTATTAGGACTTTGAAAGACTATTTGCACCCCACTAGAACAGCTACACCATCATGCATAATGTTTCCTCCTAATACACCACACTTTGAGTTCAAACCTGGAATGATTCAGCTTTTGCCTAATTTCCATGGTTTAG